AAATTAATATGATGGGAAAAGAATCCATATGGTTTTAGGAATTCAATCTGTAATTATGGGGTACTTCACCTTCAACTATAGACTACAGATCACACTTGCTTTATCGAACAAACCCAGTGTTTTCCATGACCCACAGTCCAAGCAAGAGCTCACTAGAGGGTCACCAAAGTCTGCCCGATGAGTCAAGGGGTTGCAATCCCAGCATATGGAGTACAGATCCTCCCCTAGAGACGAGTTAAGGTCACCACGACTTGATGCGACTATAGCTCTATGGTGCATAAGGGTATCTCTCGCACATGCATATGCTTCACCCAAAAAGTGGATAACTGACTTTCCCGAACAATCTATCGATATGCATGCCGTATGATGGATCATGGATGAGGTTTTGACCCCCGTCTCTGTAGGCCTACTATTACATACAAGGATGACATAGTCCCTCGGCTTACTAATCTAGGTATAAAGCTTAGACCTCATCAAGGGCTAACCCAAAAACTCTTTTCGGTTTATTCTTTATGCCCAGGTATTCCAACTGACTGGCGTAGATTGTCAAGCACAATCCGGTATCAGCAAACATCATTTGCTTAGTATGGTCCTCGAGGGACCACACTCTTATGTTCCACTATAATAAACGTTTTTCATTACACACTCATAAGGCCTTTAAAGGCCACATAAAACCAACACATGTATACTGCCTAGTCTTAGTTTTCAATCAATAAGAAGGGAGATGGGGCATCGAAGGTGGATGTTGCTCCAAATCTCTCAGCTATAATGTGGCAATCGTCTAGAGTCGATAGAAATGTGGGAAGATAGATAAGGCCTGGTAGTGGTTGTATCAAATTGAACTTTGATGGTAGTTTATGTGGAAACCTTGGACCAATGGGGGTTGGGAGTGTTTTTTGGGATTCAAAAGAGTGTTCTTTGTTGCTATCGGGTGTCGTGTGGGAATTGTACAATGAACATGGCTGAGTTAAGTGCTTTGTTGTTTGGTCTCATGTTGGGATGCCTAAAATTTCATCCAATAATATTTTGTAAACAAGAAATGAAAAATAAAAAAGTGTTTGGCGTGATATTGTCGTATGAACAAATATAGCCATTCGATTCAGATTGAACGGCTAAGAATTGGGGCTACATGTAACCTATATGTTGTTGGGGTCACATAGAAACATTTCCCTAATTTTGAAAGAGTGGGCGATCACCATCAAGAACAATAAATATTATAGACTAGAAAAGTTCCCAAGGAAGAAAAGTAATAGTTGAGACTTGAGAGCATTGTTTTAAAACTCGAAGATTTCCCATCTAGATTGTTGATATGATGAGAATTAATGCAGCTCTAGAATAATACGGGCCCGGCCCAGTTCCCCATAAAACGCTTCTTGTTAAACTATTTTCTTTTTCTTTGGTCTTAGCCAATAGTTTATTAAGTCCTCTAAAATCTCCACCTTATAAACCCATATTTTTTTATTTTATTTTTTTTAATCTTTTTTAAATTATAAGTCGGACCGATCCAAACCCAATTTAAGAAAATCAATTTGGGTCAATGGGCGAATGATCCACCCCACCGATCTGATATTTAAAACTCTGGTTGAAAGTAAAGTATGTGATACCTTCACCCCACCGATCCGATATTTAAAACTCTGGGTGAAAGTAAAGTATGGGATACCTTCACAATTAACCTTAGCCGTCCTATGGGAAATGCCTTGTAGCGCCAATGACAGCGGTAAAGTTCAATTTTTTTATGTAACGCCTTGTCAGGAGGATGCACCTTTATTACAAGAAGGTATTGATCGCGTCCTATATATCGCACCATGTTTAAAAATTAATCCTGAGAGATCTAATTAAACAGACCTTTCTTTACAGTTTTCAACAAATTAGTGCCTTCGCAGATTTGAATTTAACATGCATTGGAGCTCTTTTGCATATATGTATAGAAGTGTTCTTTCAAAATCACCTGCTGTGTCCAGGACGTATTTATGCACCTGAAGTGTTCTTTCAAAATATAGAACTTTATAATGCCGTGTTTAAAAAAACAGAAAATTTCGTATAAAACTCTAGTTTCTCATATTATTTCATCGTAAACCCTCTTTCTGTTTTTCTTTCAAACGGCATAATGAAACGCCTAAAGATTTCACTGAACCCTATCATCTCTCTCCCTCTGTTATTGACTTTTGATCATAAAAATTAACCCCAAAAAATCTTATTATACCATTTCAACTCATTTTTTTTTTTAATGGATAGAAAGAGGAAAATAGAGTTAAAAAAGTTTTTGAATTGAAATGATATAAAAAGATTTGTTAAGACTACTTTTTATAATCAAAAGCTAATAAAAGAGAGAGATAAGAGATGAGAGGGTAACGTCAAATACTTGGGATTTCCTTATGCCACTTAAAAGAAAACGAAAGGAAAGTCTACCTTTGAAATAACATGAGAAATTTAAATTTTATACGAAATTTTCCTATAAAAAAATCAAAAGATTATATGCTCCTGGTGCGAGCAATACCATCGATAAAAATCTTTAGTGTTTAGGAACCCAAATTTTGCGTTTTGAGGATGGAGTCTAAACAAAAAGGAAGATAAAATAACATCCCAAGATCTAAAGACTGCAAAAGTTTGTAGAACTACCATGAACCTCAAAAATCCCTCCAAAAAGGTTGTTTTGATATTGAAAAAATATCTAATTGATCATTACCACATCAAAATATAGAAATAAAGAGAAAAGACAAATTTTAAATCCCAAAAATAGCACATCTTGCAATGTACTATCTGGCCTAACCATTTTCAAAATTTTCATGTATTTATAGATTTGCCAAATTTGAATGATTTATGAAGTTTTATAATTAAAGATGAAAATAAACTATCACACCATCCTATTAATTTTTATACCAAAATTGAATCTTATGACAATTTTGGAGGCTCGTCTTAATCTTTTTTATTAAGAAAAAATGAGAATAGTTACAATCATTTTACACCCTTTGTAGGGAAACATTGGCAACATCAAATAATAATTAGGTGTCTTACTTTGATTGTTTAAGGTTGCAAGTTGCACCTTATACAAACCACACCCTTAAAAAAAGTCCAATCTAAGGTTTCATGAAAATAAAATCCAAACTTTTTTCTAAAAACTTTGGGTGTTTTTTTTTTTAAATCGAAAATCCAACTTTATTCTCAAGAATATTCATAGCAATTCAATGGAGGTATAAAAACTCCATATTTAGAAAAGCAAATTGTTTCACGAGTCAGCAGGCGCAAGAGCCCGCGGAATTACAAACACCCATCCTAAAGATGGACATTATCCAAAGTGTATCATCCATAAATAAGATATAGACGGTGCATAAAAACATATACTACAAATTATAGTTTTAATTGCAAAAGTTAATAGTTTTAATTTTAAAAGTTAATAGTTTTAATTTAAAAAGTTAATTGTTTTAATTTTAAAAGTTTATTTTTCTTTTTATATTTGTGATCATCTTGGCCCAGATGATGAATCAACAAAAAAAAAAAAATCATCTAAAATGAATCTTTGTTGGGGGCAGCATATGTACATATGAGTCGGCCGACTCATGGGATGGGAAAATACTCATAAGCAGGTCTTTACCCGGGAGTAAAAAATTGCGCTCCCGTGCACCCCTGCAGATGCACGCTATATGCGCTCCTCAATAAAATTGTCAAGTTACTAGGTTATATGCTTATCCCCAAAAGCTAGATATTATGATTGCAAGATGTAGAGAGAGAGAACGAGGAAATGTCATGGAGAGAGGGAAGTGGAATATATCGTAGAGAGAGATGATTTGTCAAAGGTTTGTGGACTCCACAATTGAAAAGCAGTAGTAGTTTGTCAATCTCTCCCTCTCTCTCTCTCCCTCTCTCACACACACAAATGAAAATATCTCTCTCACACGCACAAAATGAAAAACAGCAGAAGCATCTCAAAAGGATCTCTCTTTCTCTCTCTCTCTAACATCATCTGTTGTTATAATTTAGCCAATATATTCCAAGTACAAAATTATACAGTGGGCTAGATTTGCTGAAAACATTGCATAAAACACAAATTTTTTTATGCAAACATTTAAATACAACATTTTTTAAAAGGAACATAAATTAAAATACACTCGGCAATTCCGCAAGGCATTTCATGCCTAGTGGATGGATAGCTTCATGAAGCGCCAATCTCCTGAACTTTCTTTGACCAATTTACTTGATCACTTCCTAAATAATTCTTAAATTTTTTTTGTTGAAAATAATTTTTGGTTCACCAAAACAAAAATGTCTTCTTCTCTGAGGATGTGGGATCCTTTTCTTTTTTTTCTTTTGAGAGCAGCATCTTTTTCACATTAGATGTCCCTACAATTCTCTCAAGCTGGACCAACAAACCAAAAATTTTCACTTGATAATTCAATAGACTAAATATGTCCAAGAAAAAAAAGCTGAAACCAACAAAAAGTTTAAAATCAAACTTTAAGGAAAATTATAGCCTAGACCAATGGTGTATGCTTATAGTATACTGCATGGTGATATCCAAGTCCATTTCCAATGATGCATAGTGGATTTTATCCCTAGTTTCCAAAGATGGGACACAAAACAAGTACAGTTAATATCCACTACACAACCAAGAACACACAGTGAAACGTCGTGATATTTTAGCATATACCATACATCAATGGTGCATAATTTATTTTTCCCTTATTTGGAAGTATAAAGGAGTAACGGAGGGGATCAATACCTTGAGTTTATCAAATTCTGTAAAGAGAACTGTGCAGAAAGCATTTTCAGTCGCTCCGTGAATATTTAGTATCTGCAAGAAGTAGAATAGTTAAGATTTTCAATTGTGCAGAAGGAATAAGGTAAAGCATGCTATTGACTGAGAACCATAATCAATTGGGATCATCAATTCCAATGAAATGATGAATGGCGATCGATAGTGTCAGAGATTAGGGGTCCCAGGCTTGAAATCCATTTCATACAGGACAAAGATAACTATCACCCATTGGAGTACAATATACCATTTCATAAAATAAATAAATATATCATGTTGAAACCTAAAGAAATGGTTAGGCTTGGACTAGAGATTCATTACATCAAACCTATACATGTACCTCCGAGTAGAAATCTTTTCTCTCAGGTAGGGAGTAAAAGATCACATCCTTGATGCCACGGATCTGAACCAGGTGAAAACCATAAAGAAATAGATCAATTAGAAATACAACTTTAAAATGCAAAAAAGACCACACTATTATCAACTGTACATGCCTTGAATCCATAGAAACTTATAATAATTATTTGAAAGAAGCCCGAGTGTCTAAATATATATTTCGAACAATGGCATTGTTCTCTCTTCCAAGAAGAGAGCTTATTGTCAATTCCATGTTTCTGGAGAGTTGGCCAGGAAAATGGTTCGTAGATACAATAAGGGATACAAATGAGAGGTGAATAGATTAGACTAGTTAAATTTCGAAATTCACCTTACTTCAAGAAATAAAAAAATCATCTTCGAGAAAAAAAACACCCTCAATCTTCATAAACAAAAGAAAACAGGCAGCAGCAAGAGGAATCCCACTTAAGAAACACTTTGCCAGAAAGCTATTATTAGGAAGTGTCTGAAAGTATGAAACATCATTAGAAGGGATTGGTTGGTGAAACCCAACCTTGTACCGATGATAGAAATGAACCCTTTCAGTGTACAGCATGATTTTTCGTTTGCCCTCAAAAAACCACAGGCGTGCACGAGATATATCAGCAGGCTTTGTGTACCTAACGGGAGGAACAAAGTATCGCTTAGTGAATGTAATTGCAAACATTTCATGTCAACATGTATCAGTTCTTCCAAATCTCATGACATTTTTCCAATGAAAAGGATCAAGTTAAAATTCATGAGGCCCATATAATAGCAGTTAACAAAATATAAATTAAAGCAATTGTTAATGGTTTTTTTATGGGGCCTCATGATTTTCATCATGGCATGCCAAAAATTGGAAGGGATTACCAAAAAAGCCCTTCCGAGATTTAGGATCCTTTCAAAACTCTTGTTCTCACTCAGTGAATAATGGAAGACAGTGTACAAGTACATATAACACAGAAAGACATAAGAGATACCAATGAAGACACTCAAGAACGAACCCGAAATGAGAATGTTACAACTTTAAGAGTCATGACTGCTCTTCCCAGTAGAACCCAGGATAGTAATCCACACATTTTCCATTTCCTTCCATGACTAATAATAATAATGGCATTTTCTCTCCAATCTATGGTACTGAGAAAGTCCCTCTAATTTTATTCAACTAAGTGCAGGTACCACTCACACTGGAGAATGGGAAAAGATAATATTTTGAACTAAAAATATGAAAAAAAAAAAACATTACCCCAGATGGAATTCAAACCATACCCCTCTCTATTTAGACTAGTATAAATAATTAGACATTCTCATTTCATGGCAGGCCAATTCATCACAGCGGTTCCAAGTGAAGAGCCACATGAGGAAAGCAGACCACCTCCCCGTGAACAAGAGATGAGTTCAATTTCCGTGAAATCATACTTCAAAATACGCAAACCATATTTTAGCTCAAGTTCAAAAGCTAAGAAATATTCTTAAAAAGGAAAAGAAACTTACTCCCCAAGCAAACAGAATGAAGAATTTTGTGATCTCAAGAAATTTCTGACCCTGATGAATTCAGCAGTTGAACTGGTAAACAGCATAATACCACCCTGCACAAAAATGAAGAGGACGGAAGCATGAAGTATAGAATTTGTTATCAACCAGCATAGTCGCAAAAACACAACAACATGACAATATGCAATGAAAGCATAGTCCACGTCCCAGTTGCGAATATTAAAAATATCTCAAGAACATTACCAACGGAAAACTGGAGGAAGGGCACAGACTACTTTATTCAAACCAATGTTGTTAAGAACAGACATTGGCCAAACCGGTGTCCTCACTGACCCGGGCGAACCGGTCAGGCAGGATGGGTACACTGGTCAGACCAATTGAATAAATTAAAAACTGGAAAGATTGGAAAAATGAGAGACAAAAAAAGAAGAAAAAATAGCGAAACCTATGAAAAAAGAAAATTAAAAATTATTAGAAATCTTCTACACCACAATACCAATAACCAAACCACAAATCTTGCACCCAAACCACCAAACACACTTCACAAGAATGACAATTTATTAACCCCATAAATGGAAACATCATCATCATCATCAGAGCCTTTTTCCAGCTATTTGGGATTGGCTATACGAATCTTGGTCCGCTACTCAGCTCTATCAAGGATCATACCCTCAGTGAGGCCATGAGTCCCTATATTTTTTCTCACTACTTCCAACCATGTCCTTTTGAGCCTACTCCTTGCCTTTTTTAAACCTTCCACTTAAACCAACTCGCACCTCCTAACATGTGTTATACTGGGTTTGACTACACATGGCCAGCCCACCTAAGTCTACTTTCTCTCATCGTATCACCTATTGGAACCACACCTAAGTTCTCCCTCATGTGTTCTACATAAAAAAGGAAACACACAAACAAAAACCCATACAGAACAATAAAACAAAAAAACACTTAAAAAGCCCCCCTAGTTTTCTCCAAAACCATTGAACGAGTATGAATGGTGATTAAAGGGTATTAAATGCCCAAAAAAAAAATCATCTATTAACATAATCATAATCATTTAAAATAATTTATTGCCTAATTACATTTGAACATTAGAGAAACAAAAAAACGTATAAATTAAGTCAATTTTCATTAAAAAGAATACCCAACATCTTTGATATGGAAGAAATTTTGTCCTTCAATATTTTCCTTGGTTAAATCGATATTGTGTTAACCAAAAATAGTATCAAAAACCTAATTTTTTTACAGAAAAGAATGCATAAAAACTGCCAAAACCAACATTAAACTTATTAAAACAAAAGAAGCCACGAATACAAGAAACAATCAGTTGCATTGTTTCGAAGAACAAAATCATTTCTCGCAAAACCCCAAATTTTTTCTAATTTTCCAAATATAAAAAAAAATTAAAAAAAATGAGAAACGTACATTGGGCTTGAAGAAGGGGGGACTGATAGCCAAAATTCCCCTCAAAACTAACCAGATTTTTGCCCAAGAAATGACTGTTTTTGGGTATAGAGAGAGAGAGAGAGAGAGAGAGAGGAGGGAGGGAGGGAGGAGAGAGAAGTAACGTACCTAACCGAAGTACTCTTTCTTTTCTACTAACTAAACGTAACGTAACTTACCTTTTAAACCTTTAAAACCAAACCTACGTACCGAACT